ATATTTCCATATAATACAAAATTTTTTTTTTAGTGATCATCAAGATTTACAAACATACAATAATATATAGACATAATTAACAATTATTATTATTACTCATATAAAAAATTAGAATATTAAAATTTGAAACCTGAAATGTATTCATATGATTTAATTTATAAAATGCAAAATTTTTAATTACACATAATTAAAAGAAGAAATATTATTATACATGAAAAAAAAAAAAAATTAAATGTATACATATTGACACAATTTACATGTAACTTAGTTTAACATAGAATATGATAAATGTAAATAAAAATGATCGTTAATTTTATTATTTATATTTTAAATAACCAATCAACATCATCACTGGAATATGTTTATATCAAAAATAGGAGATTCTAATGAATGTACATATAAATAAATTTGGTATATTTATATAACAAAATGTAAATTATTATTCAAATATTTCCATAAAATTCTATTAATTTATATATTTATATCTTAAATATTTTAATAGAAAATAATTAAAAACATGCACAGAATGTAAAAAACAAACTATTTGTATCATATTTTACAGATAATGCCATGCATCCATTAAATAGTATTTGTAATAGCTTTAAGTTATTGTGTTCATAAATTTACATTTGCATTTTATTTTATTCAATATATATACTTATTATTATAAATTGAATTAATGTTTAACATATATTTTTTATAGTGATTTTTATTATAAATCTACGAATATGTAAGAATATTATAGGAAGCACTAAAAATATCTATGCGAAATATTATAATAATAATAGTTTAACTAATATTAGTGGATATCTTAAGTAACCAATAATTACGAAAGTAGATAACACTTCAATTATGAGTAAAATGTACCTTAAATATAAATAATATTGTCAATATATATTTTTTTTTTTGTATTACAATATTAACAATGTAGTATAAATATGTTATACATCAGAATAGAACAACTGTGTATAACATAGGGAATAAAATATTCTTCTATTGTACATTAAATATATCATAATGATACATAAAACTTCTGATCACTTTTTTACAATAAAAAGTGACATAAATATATTTAATAGTAATTATGCATATAAATATCTAATGAATAAAATTAAATATATTTAATGAAATAAATAAGAATAGCATATAATAATTAAACATATTTTTTAATTGCTTCTATAGAATATTCTAAGTCATTCGACTTCTTTAATGTATATATCTTTAAAAATATCGTATCGCATAATAATCTTACTTATATGTATATTTTGTGCGATATATATATACGTTTTAATATCACTAATTATTTTTCAACATATATTAATTAAAGCACTATATTTTCTTATACTTTGCATCATATATTTTCTGCATCAAAATATTTTATATTATTTATATTTTAGTAAATTTATTTATGTTTATAATTACCATTAATCGATTAAATCGTATGTATATAATATTTCGTGTATTGTTTTCTTTTAATAAAGAAAACAATAATAATTATTATAATATATTTTTTTTTTATGGATAAATATATTTATATACAATATGAACAATTTATACTAATCACTAGAATGACATTTAAATATTTTATTTTAGCATTACCTTTAAATATATTCATTTTTTATACATAGATATAGATGTAAAATAAAGAAAAGCATATGTATATAATAAATAGTAATAAATGCGAATTTATAGGATATGTAAAGTTATAAAATTGTATATATAATTAATATGAGTATTTTTGTACTATTCTTATATTATTTTCACAAAAACATTCAAAAAATCATGTTGTTTAACAAAATGATATTTTTTGTGTATAATTATTTAAATTGATAATATATAAATAATATATTTAGCATGAATTTATTTCCTAATAAGCACAGTGTTCAAATTCTATAAATATGTAATATTAAATTAAAAGAAATATATTATATGTATATATACATTGCACAGCATATATTTATAAGTACATGGAATTGCTTTGTACGCCGATTAATCATGCTTGAAATTATTAGATACATCACTAAAAATTTTTATGTTGTTAATATAGAGATTTTGCATATTCAAATAAATGATTGCTATAATTTATATTATAACAAATTATATTAATATTATAAATCACTATAAACAAATATTTTGTGATTTTTTAATAAACCTATTGAATAAAAAAAATGTTAGGTCAATAAACTAATAATAATGTAAACTATTGTTTATATTTAATAAAATGTACATGAAATAAATTTGAATAAATTTATAACATATATGTTATAGCACTCTGTACTTATATTTATGATTACTATAACATATACATAGCTGAAACAAATATGTGTCTCCATGGAAATAAAAGACGAATGAAATAATTGTAACGTGTGAGAATTAATAATTTTTTTATGTGCGTATGTATAAATATGTATTAGCATATGTAAAAAATATAATGCAAATATTTGTTTTCTTAATAGTAACGTTTTCGTAAAATGTTTTTTACATTTAATTCCTTCCTAAAAAAAATGACATGTTTTTTATTATACGAAAAATAATTACGATTTTTTACAGACATATTTATTTTTTTTTGTAATAATTGTTTTAGAATTTTTTTTTATACCATATATTAAGGGCATACATCTTATTTAAAAAAAATTATTTTATATATTATATATTTTTATGGCTGAACATTACTTGTAGATCTTATGATATATTAATGGATATATAATTAAGAACATATAAACATATTTTATACTATTTTTTACTAAAATATTCTTATTTTTTCTATTACATTAAATTAAATGTGCAGTATGTAGTTACTCAAAAATCATGTCATTTGAAAATAAAAAATATATATTTTTTTTTTTACATTTAAATTTATCTAAAAATAAGAATTCATAAAAACATATTTTTCACGTAATGTACTTCAGTAATATTGCTTTATTCAATTTATGATATTTTATATTAGTTATTAATAACTTCTATGTAAATTACTAGCATTTATAATTTTTCCTTCATATTGCTTAAAAAATTATATATATATGTATATGTGTTTTTAAATTAATGCTTGCTAAACAATACAGGAAAAAATAAAAATATAATGCTATTTAAAAGAATGAAACTATATATATTATATGAATAATATATATGTGTCCTAAATTTCTATTGTGGATATTTAAAGGTTCGTACAAAAGTTAAAGTATTATACATATAATTCCACTAAGGTAACATATAATATCAACATATGTGGAATATTCAGATTTATAATATGAGATAATAATAAAATTTATACATATATTAATTAACATAACAATGTTTTATTTTATATATATATTTTTTCCTCATTGTTGTGTATTTTCTATTTATATACACATTTTTTTGCACTGCATTTTTATACGTATTTTTGCAGTAATTACTGTAATTCTGTACATAAATTTTCTGTTGTATACAATGTATTGAGCTTTATCAATTTTATATGATGTTACTTAATATGTTCATTTTCTGTAATACATTAAAATAATTCTTTTATATAAATGAAATTTCAATTATTATTCGTACCGGAATCTACACGTGATATATATAGTGAATATTAAACTTTTTATTATTATAAACAACAAAATTTTATTAAAAGTATCTTATAAATGTAACAAAATTATAATCCTTATTTTAACTGTGTTAAATATTCTAAACATGTTGCCAAGAGAAATTTTCGTTTATAATAATATTAATTAATTTCAATTGATATGATATTTTTACAGCATCAAATGTATATATTTCGCAACATTTATAACAAAATATTTTTAGATTATAAAGTGAATATTTATTCTTCCAAAGAAATACTTTTTAATATGCTTAAATATATTATATTTCAAATTGCTATAACTATTAAATGGCAATATATTTATAATGTATTAAAAGATAACTTATCCTCATATAAAATATATGAAAAATTTAGAGAAAATATGAAGATAAGTCTGCGAAAGTAATATTTGTTGTATTGTAGGAGTATTTTGAAATATAAATATTCATATATTGGCACTTTGTTAATTTTTTATTGAAATATTATTTTAGATTTTACCTTAATTTATCAGATTTTACTTTATTAATGCATCAATCGAAGCAAAACAGAAAATAATGCATAAAAAAATGTGATATATATAAATAATATAGATTCTTCAAGGATATATAAAAATATAAGTAATGTATAAGCATTTAAATTTAATACATAATGATCAATCTATGCTAATTAGTTTAAATATATATATTAATTTATGTAACATGTAAATAACAGAAATAAAACAATAACAAATGATATTATAAAAATTAAAACAAAATATTAAGATAATTAAGTGAATAATTATTAATGTAAATTCATTAGTTATATTTACTTTTTATAAAATCTGTGTATTTATAATATATATGTATATGAACAAAAATTAATGTATGTAATTTAGCATAAATGTATTTACTAATTAGTTATATTCCATTATACTTTAACAGTAAATTCTAATAATGATGGTATTATTAATGCATACAAATGATTAAATTAAGATAAATATTACAATTTGCTTTTTCTTACATTATTTTCATAAAATTATAATAAATATAATTATACTCAACACAAGAAATATAATAAGAAATATGAATCTAAACCAGTACATAACACACTTGAATGCTAAACCATTAATCTCATTAATATCAACTTTTTTATGTTCATTTCACATAAATTAACAAAATGAATACACAAACAGTACTAACAGAAAACGTACGTTCCCACATTTTGCGAAAAATAAAATTTATATTACATTATTTAAAAATATATTTATGTGAGTAAGAATAAGAAGAAATATTTTTTTTAAACATTATATTAAAATTTTGTTTTCATTGTGACTTAATTTTTAGTACGATTTTAAAGATATATTTCCCACATGCTTGAATGATTTTCGTACTCATAGAACTAATATCACAAATAATGTTGAATTTAAAATTGGTAATACATGTTCAGTAACTGCACATTCTTTAAAATTTAATCCAGATTACAGAGAGTTTTTTGTATCAAATTGTAAAAACCTTCTTCTCTATTTATATTATATAAAAAATAATAAAACCACTACTGACGAAGAGCCCAGTTGTAAATATTTCAATTATAGATTAAAGTATTTATTAAATACTTATAAATGCCCTGAAAAGAGCACTGAAAAAGCTTATAAAACAATGATAATTAAAGACAATGAAAATACTTATTTTAATATATCTAATATATGTCAATTATACATTAAAGACCTTAGTGATGATACATTTCAAAAATTTGAGAATCTGAATGAACTATATAGTATTTTTAAACAAGCAGAGGGCACCTGCACTAAGAATACTAGATGTTTCAATAAATACATGAATTATTCTGTAGATTGTGATAATTCGAACAACAGCAGTTATTGTCAAATTCTAAATAAATTTAAATTTCTATATATACTAGATACCGTAATTGAACCTATAAATAAAAATATTTCTGAATCAACACATTCTTCAACTCTTATACACATAAGGGCAGCATTTTTAACTATAACTTTTATGACATTTTTAATATCAACAAGTATATTTATTTTATATAAAGTTAGATAGAAATTCACTTTATATGATATATATTAAATTCATGTTACGCCTTATTATGAAATTTTTATCTAATATAATAAATATTCACATAAGAACAACAATATTTCCTTATTATTAGTATACATCTTATAGATCATATTCACCACCAGTGTTAGTAAAAATAAAGAGACTTTTTAATAAAAAAGATGAAGAATATTCTACATTATTAGATTCATTCAAATGCGCATACAACACATCCATTGACAATGATTATAGAATAGAATATAGTTCAGTAAATAATAGATAATAAAACTATGATAAAATTAGTGAATTAAACATATATTCATCCAAATAATACAATAATGTAAATGCACATTTGTATCAAAATAAATAACTATACTAAAGTAAATAGCTTAAAATCGTAATTATATTATAAAATAAATTATGTTTTTTTTGTGATTTAAGGAAATATGTAAAACGCTAAATTGAAACATTGTTAGATAATAAACAGTATATATAATTATTATGAAATAACTCAAGTTAAAAATAACTTATTAACATTGATTAATAGTTATTACATATTACATATGAATATTTCAAAATAGATGTATCAAAATCTAATTAATTTGCAATCTTCATAAATAATGAATTTTGTAATTTTATATTTATTAAATCTAAGTGAATGAAGAAGTGCATTAAATATTTAATTATAAACTCAAATACATGCAATATATATGTATATATAATTTGAAATAATATTATACATAGTTGTGGTATGCGTGAAACAAATAATTCCTAAAACAAAGTTAGATAAAATAATTATATTAAAAATCCGCAGATCATGCATAGAATGTAATAAAATTTCTTTTATACATGTATTCCAATAATTGAGATGAAAATTATGGTAAAAGAAAATATATAATAAATAAATATTAAAGGGGGAGATACCTTTTTACACTATTAATTTATGCAATTTTTAATATTATGTATATAAATTGATTGCATATAATAAATAAAATGTATTCTCATAGAAAACAAAATTTAAATATCACTGTTGTCATTCAAGATCATTATACACATAAAAAAAAAATATGACGAAATTATATATGTATATTAATTTATAAATAAACACACATTATTCTAATTTTTAAATCAATACTACATTTAAAAATAATACTTCTTCTGTATATATTAATACAATATATCAAATTCTTTTACTATATATCTATTTCTGTTAAGATTATTATGTGCTTTATATACATAAAGTTGGGTATAATCCATATATATTCTTCAAAATATATATTATATATTGTTTAATCATAGTGCTCATATATTCTCATAATTGGAAGATTATTTTACCTTCTCTTGAATCACATATATGACTCTATTTGGGTAATCCATAATATATTCTTTTTTAGATAAATTTTATTAATAAAGTTAATATATTGTTATTCAAATTCTATGTAATTTGTCACATTAATAATATTATTAAAAATGTGATTGAATTAAGCTATTTTATATCATTTTTCCTGTATATTAGAATATTTAATAATGAATTTATAAATTTTGTTACTATCGCTTCTCTTATAATGTTTATAACACAATATTTTTTAGACGTTGATCTTATAACTTGACTTCATTTGTCACAAATTATATTTAAAATAGATGTTATTTCCTCTTTGCATGTTTATTTCTTATATCATAAAAAGTTTTTTGCTATATTATATTTACCCTATGCTGATATTTTCTGCACTTATGTATGTTGGTATAAGCACATTAATTTTTATATTTATTTTATTACTAGATTTCTTTTTATATATTAATCATATTTTTTACCACAAAATATACTGAATAAATTTATGTTATTAAGAATATCGAAGTTCTTTTAATAACACTTATATATATAAGAAATATGTTTTTAATATTTATATAATTATATATTATAATTGATCAATTAATATATAAATGGAATATACATATTCTAAGTAATAAATGAAACAAATGATAGATAAACTATAGAATTATATGAATTTATAAAAAAAGCAAGTATTTCACATTTTATAATGAATAAATAAGAATTGATATATGTATTGCAAGTTATTCTTAGCATGATTTTATAAACCTAATTTTTGATGTTATCCGATATAGAAAAAAAAATTTTATTTAATGTTTATGTTTAAATAATTTTCATAATTCTTGTAGAAATATCAAATAATTTTTAAAAAATTGTTTATACCATTTTTGAGGTGACTTTGAAATTATTCAAAATATTATCATTATTTATTAAAGCTTCATATGTTTTTTATATATATCAAAAATATATTTAAGGACGTCCTTTTGTCTCTCATTCTAAATATGAAAAGCTTTTATTAATTTTTGTTAAAAATAGTGCATAATTACTATTTTTGTCTTTAATAAGCTTCTTATATATGTCACAATATATACAGTAAATTGTAGGAAATGTGCAGGTATTCTTATTAAAATATTATTCTATATTTAATATATAATTTATTTTTTCTATAAAAAGTATTATGAAATCTTCTTTATGGCATGTAGGATTGTATAAATATATCTAAATTTTTCAACATATGTATAACCATATAAATATGTTTGCTTCGATAGTATGCATAATATTTATTTTTATGACATCATATAAATAATATGAAAATTTTATATTCCTCTATATTTCATGTTATAATGTTTAAAAAGTACATATTTTTATATAAATATCCAGAGTGCTTTGTATACTCATTTTTAAATTACAGCTACTGTAAATGTATTTTTCATATTATTTAATATTTCTCTTTTTATTCATAAATATTGTGGGATAATTAAGCAGAATTAGATAGAATCTTAATATGGAAAATAATAATTATTATGTAATATATTTATATGGTGGTATATGTTATATTTTATGAGAATTTTTGCTTTTCAAGCATATAATTTATAACAACATATATCAACTCTTTGTTATATAACTGTCAATATTGCATAAACTGACTACAAATTATATATTTTACTTTTATTCTATAATAACTAATTAAACATTATGTATTACTAGGATCTATTTAAACTCATATCTGATTAATTGGCTAAAGATTCATATATTATATTTTTTTTCCTCAGTAAAGGCTCAATGGACGATATATTATAGAATAACTATTATATTTAATATGTTTCCTTGAATTTCATGAATAGTTTTCAATAAATATTAGCATTATATTTCATTTAGCTCTCTTATTACATTTTTTAACATTTCATTGATTTTATGNNATTTTTATATGCTTCATATTTATCCACTTTGTAAAATGTTCCTTAAAATAAGAATCCAATGAATTTAATTATTTATAAAACATGAAAATAATTATGTATCATGCAATAACTGAATGTAGTATCATTTCTTATTATACTTAGTTACATATTATCATTAGACGCAACACTAATATATAAGTTTTCTTTACAGCATTATATTGAATATGCAATTTGTTAATAATATCATTATTGATATTCATTATAGAATAATCTGTATGTTAAATTTTAATTTTTTATAAAAATTATACATAAATAAATATTTAGTTTTTATGCATCTTTCAATTTTTTGTGCTGTGTGTTAATATCTTCAATTGTCAAGGCTATTATTTGAATAAAAATATAACCTGATATATTATTAAATAATATAATTTCCATATATTTTATAACGATGAATAATAATATATATAATATATATTATATTATTGGTTAATTAAACATAAAAAATTCTTTATAACAAATGTTATATTTATTGTATATCACAATAGAATATTTCATGCGTACTATAAGATTAAAGTTGTAATTATTTTTAATACTTAAAAGATTTTTTTGAAAATACATTATTCCTATAAAAAAAAACTAAAATTATAAAATTATTCAAATTTTAATCTAATCTATTAGGAATTATCATGTAAATTATTTCTTTGTGACATATAAGTTTTTAAAACGTTTTGGAATTTAAGCAAGAAACCGAAAAAAAAAAATATATATTATAATGAAAAATATATTTTTTTTTATTGTTCCCGAATATTGAAAAATATATATACTGCTTATATTATTTTTATTATTAATACATATATTGTAGCATTCATTTAATTTTCCATTTATAACAATTTATTCAGTATATATAGCATGATGACATATTTTTATATGATTCACAAATAAAATATAAAAATGATATCAAAATTTTTAGATTTTATAAAGTAATAATCTAGTGAAAATATAAAAGTGAATTCTACAAGTTAATAAATAAGCACTTTATAACATTCTCCTGATGTTTATTTTACATTTGTACTATTTGATACAAGGAATATATATGACGTTTAATTATAAAATGTACATAAAAATAGTACAGATATTCATAAATTTACCCTTTATTATACAAATATATATCTTGAATATTATATAAATATTTTCTTCAATATGAAATTGTGGTGAAGCAGTTTAATCATAACATATGTTCTCAATTTCATAATATTATATCATATATTAATATATATTGTACTACATTTTCTGCAATACAAAATTATATATTCATAGTACGTAATTAAATTAGATATAATTTACATTTATTTCAAAAAAACTTTCTAAAATGTACATATCATTCATTATATATTGATAAAAAATATTTTAAAATATAATGCTCAAAGAATAAATAATTAATTATAAACTTTTATATTACATAATTCTTTTTGATTATGTCCAATTTTTAATGGAAACGAAAGACATGTAAAAAAGTGAAATATCTAAAATAATAATTTATTATATAAATATATTTTCCATGTAATTTAGCGATGAGGGTAAAAATATGTTGATGTTCTTTGTATATATATTTTTAAGATATGTGTATTTTTTATTACATAATATTACCATTAAGATACAATATTATATTCTATTTTTCTAATATGCATTTATGAAAGAAAATATTAATTCTGATTGAGTATTATTACAGTGAATTAATAAATAAAAAGAATTAACAAAGATTTATAAAAATATTTTAATTTTTATATATTATAAAAGCCACATTATAACTTACCATTGTATTATTTATTCCGACACAGTCGTTATATAAAAACATAAAAAGAACAATTTATTTTTATGAATTAATTCACAAACATTTATATAATGGAAAGTAGAGAATGCGAAAATTAATGTAATTTTATATTTGTTTTACAAATATAATTTATATTATTTAATTTTAACATATCCTTATTTATAAAAAAAAAAAATTATTTCAATTCAAAAATATTATATTAAAAACTTACTATTCATTACTGT